GCCACCACTGCCGAGAAGCCCTCCAACCACCTGCCCCCGACGCCGAGGGCCTCTGTGCGGCAGGAGCCCAGCCTGGGTGCACAGGCGCGGCACATGAGCAGCTCTCAGGAGCTGCTGGGGGACGGGCCCCCCGGGCCCGGCAGCCCTATGTCACGCAGCCAGGAGTACCTGCTGGATGAAGGGCCAGCCCCTGGAACCCCACCCAAGGAGACCCGGCCCAGCCGCCATGGCCACAGCGTCAAGCGGGCCAGCGTGCCCCCGGTGCCCGGCAAGCCTCGGCAGGTCCTTCCGCCAGGTGCCAGCCACTTCACACCTCCCCAGACGCCCACGAAAGCCCAGCCAGGCTCCCCTCAAGCCCTGGGTGGGCCTCATGGTCCAGCCCCAGCCACAGCCAAGGTGAAGCCCACCCCGCAGCTGCTGCCACCGACAGAGCGCCCCATGTCACCCCGCTCGCTGCCTCAGTCACCCACACACCGCGGCTTTGCCTACGTGCTGCCCCAGCCCGTGGAGAGCGACGCAGGGCCAGCCGCTCCCGGGCCCTCGCCCGTGGCCGGTCCCCCACCCGTGCCCACGTTGTGCCTGCCTCCTGAGGCTGACGTGGAGCCGGGGCGGCCCAAGAAGCGTGCCCACAGCCTGAATCGCTATGCGGCATCTGACAGTGAGCCTGAGCGGGACGAGCTGCTGGTGCCAGCCGCCGCAGGGCCCTACGCCACCGTCCAGCGGCGTGTGGGCCGTAGCCACTCAGTGCGGGCGCCCGCAGGAACCGACAAGAACGTCAACCGCAGCCAGTCCTTCGCTGTGCGGCCCCGAAAGAAGGGGCCACCCCCGCCCCCGCCCAAGCGCTCCAGCTCAGCCATGGCCAGTGCCAACCTGGCAGATGAGTCGGCGCCAGACGCGGAGACGGAAGGGGCTGGGACCGAGGACAGCCGGCTGGGGGTCCGGGCACAGCGCCGGCGGGCCAGCGACCTGGCTGGCAGCGTGGACACAGGCAGTGCCGGGAGTGTGAAGAGCATCGCAGCCATGCTCGAGCTGTCATCCATTGGGGGTGGGGGCCGAGCAGCCCGCAGGCCCCCCGAGGGCCACACCATGCCTCGCCCCGCCAGCCCGGAGCCAGGCCGGGTGGCCACAGTGTTGGCCTCGGTGAAGCACAAGGAAGCCATTGGGCCTGATGGTGAGGTGGTGAATAGGCGCCGCACGCTCAGCGGGCCTGTCACGGGACTTCTGGCCACGGCCCGCCGGGGGCCTGGGGAGTCGGGGGGGCCTGCAGATCACGGCCACTTTGTGGAGGATGGTACCACTCGGCAGCGGTCTCGAGGACCAGCCAAGGGCGAGGCAAGTGGGGAGGGCCCGCCCCTGGCCAGAGTAGAGGCCAGTGCCACGCTCAAGAGGCGCATCCGAGCCAAGCAGAGCCAGCAGGAGAGCGTCAAGTTCATCCTGACTGAGTCTGACACGGTCAAGCGCCGGCCCAAGGCCAAGGAGCGGGAAGCCGGTCCCGAGCCGCCACCGCCACTGTCCGTGTACCAGAACGGCACGGGCACCGTGCGCCGCAGACCAACCTCTGAGCAGACTGGGCCCCCCGAGCTGCCCCCGCCGCCCCCACCTGCAGAACCACCCCCCTCCGACCTGATGCACCTTCCCCCGCTGCCCCCGCCTGACATGGATACCCGGAAGCCAGCCAAGCCGCCTGTTTCTCCCAAGCCTGTGCTGACTCAGCCCGTTCCCAAGATCCAGGGCTCACCCACACCTGCCTCCAAGAAGGTGCCGCTGCCAGGTCCTGGCAGCCCAGGTAGGTGCAGGGAGCCAGCTGGGGAGGGCACCCCCCACCTCCCCACTTCACACAGTCTGAGGGGTTTTCCTCTTGAATTTGAGGAAGGCTGGGTGGAATGGGTGGGAAAGTATCCTAGGACCCTCTCATCCACCCACCCGATGGACAGCACTGCCGACCCCAAATTGGGAGGAGGGTGGATGTTCGTCCCCTTGCTCGGTGGAGGAAGTACAGAAACTCATGGGTAACAGCACCTGTTGGAGGGAAGACAGGTGCTGGGTCACGGAGGACTCTGGGAAGCTTGAGAGTGACCCCAGCACTAGAGAGGGGGCAGGCTTCGAAGCAGAAGGGTCAGAGGTGCAAAGGCCCTGCGGTATTCAAGCAACCCAACGGCCAGTGGCTGTGGCAGGCCACACCTGAAGGGGAAGGGGGGGGGCGGATCGAGAAGGGTCTAGAAGCCGGTGACCCGAACAGATATGCATAGGGAGACGCGCCCCCTGGCGGCTGCAGGGAGCCTGGGGTCCGGAGGGCAGCGGCGGTGCCCGGGCTGCGGCGTCTCGGTTCTCGAGGGCGAAGCGGAGCGTCGCGGGTGCGAATCTCCTCCTCCCCGCAGAGGTGAAGCGCGCCCACGGCACGCCGCCGCCCGTGTCGCCCAAGCCGCCGCCGCCGCCCACGGCGCCCAAGCCGGCCAAGGCCGCGGCGGGGCTGCAGTCGGGCAGTGCCAGCCCGTCGCCCGCGCCCTCGCCGGCTCGCCAGCCGCCCGCCGCCCTCGCTAAGCCGGCCAGCACGCCGCCCTCGCTGAGCGCCAGCCCCGCCAAGCCCCCGTCCCCCGGCGCCCCCGCGCTGCACGTGCCCGCCAAGCCGCCGCGCGCCGCCGCCGCCGCCGCCGCCGCCGCCGCCGCCTCCGCCGCCGGGCCCCCCGCCGCGCCCGACGGCGCCTCGCCGGGAGACAGCGCCCGGCAGAAGCTGGAGGAGACGAGCGCGTGCCTGGCGGCCGCGCTGCAGGCCGTGGAGGAGAAGATCCGGCAGGAGGACGCGCAGGGCGCGCGGTAGGTGCGGGGCGGGGTCCGCGCGCGCCCCGAGGCTGCGGCGCACCAGCCGGCGGCGGGGGCGGAGTGCGAGGCGGGGCCCGGGGCAGCCGGGGGTCCGTCCAGTCTCGGGGCTCCCGGGGCCGGGAGGGGACGGGGGGAGGTCCTTGTAGTGGGGACGGGGACGGGGGCCGCGCCCGGCTGAGGAGCGGGGGCGGGGGCGGGGGCGAGTCGTGCCGCTCAGCGGAGGCGGGGCGGGGGCGGGGCCCGGGCAGGGTGTCCCGCGCCCGCCGCGCCCGCTCACGCCGCGCCCGCCCCCAGCCCCTCTTCGGCGGAGGAGAAGAGCGCCGGCAGCATACTGGACGACATCGGCAGCATGTTCGACGACCTGGCCGACCAGCTGGACGCCATGCTGGAGTGACGCGGCTGCTCACACCGGGCCCGCCCGCGCCGCCCGGGGCCCGGGCCCGCACACTGACCTTTACCTCAGGGTGGGCACCTCTGGGCGCAGCGCGAGCAGGCAGGGCCGAGGGCCGACGGGGGCCAGGCGGGCAGGGGCAGGCCCTGCTGCCCATCCCCTGCACAAGCACAACTTCTGCCCCCTGGACCCGGGCCGGACCGACGGCCTGGAGGACTGCCTGGCCAGGGGACTCGAGGGCTCTAAGTAAATGCTGCTGCCCGGCGCGTGCCCGTCCCTGTCTGCTGCTCCCTGTGCAATAACTGCTGGGCCGCCCGCCCGCCTGCCTGCGCCGGGCTCTGCCTGCGGCGGTGAGGAGGGGCAGCCCCTGGCGCCCTGCCCTGAGGCCAGGCTGGGTCCGCCCCCGGAGGCAGTGGGAGGCCGACTGCCGCTTTGGCCCCTCCCCATCTGTGGCAGAGCACAGGCCTATGCCCAGCACAGAACTGCCCGTTGGGGACTTCTGCCAGCCGCTCCAGCGCAGCACAAGGGCCTGGGGCTGGGATCACGCCCCCACCCCACTGTACCCCCCAGAATATAAGCTATCGAGAGTATTAATTTATTGGGAATGAGCTGAGGCAGATTTCCCCAGAGAAACAAAAAGGTATAACTTTAACAAATATATATTTAAAGAAAGAAAAAATATTATTGATTCTATAGAAAACCATTTACCAACTGTAAGGACACTGAAGTCTAGCTCAAGACAAAAGCTGTTAGAGGCCCTGGCTGTCTGTCTGTCCATCCTTCCCTCCGGCTAGGACACCCGGCCCAGTAGCACACACAGGAGGCTGGGGTCCAGGAGGGTCCGTGCTCCACTAGGGCCTCCCCCTCTCTCCTAACTTCTCTGCGTCTGAGGAACTTGAAGGATGTGCCTTGCTCGCTGCCGGGCTGTGTCCTCCACACCGTGGAGCCGTGGGGAGGGGCTCCCTGTTCTCCCAGGGTGCTGGTGTGAGGTACACTTGGGCTTCGGGGGAGCTGTGCGTGCAGCGTGGGCGCGTCGGCTGGGTGAGCTCAGTGGGTGCAGGGCGTGCATGCCAGGCTGCGTGTGGCGTGTGTGAGGGTGTGCCCGACCCTCCCTCCTCAGGGCTCCTCGCTGGCCCCGTACAGACAGCCTGCCCTCCCCCATCTGAGTTCCCATGGACGCTTCTGCTCATGGTCCAAGGCTGTGTCGTGTGGTCGTTCTTGCCCTCTCTCTCTTTTCCTCTCTCTTCCCTTTCCAAAAAGTACTGACTGGCCTCCTCTATTGTGTTTGCTGATCCACGTGTGTTGGGCACAACTTTGACCTTTCTTAAAAAAAAAAAAAAAAGAATTTAAAAATGCCGAAAACCAGCGGTTGTGATGCGGGCAGAAGGGGTCAGCCAAGGTGGCGTCTGAGCGTGTGGGCCCTTTCCAGTAGTCGTGCCCTGAGACTTCCCCAGGTGGGTGTGCCTGGCCTCTCTCCAACGAGCAGCCCAGGCAGGGGCTCCAGCACGTGGGGAGGGGGGTTCCGCGCAGGGAGCTACTGTCAGCTGTCAATAAACAGCAGAAAACAGAGCTGCCTGGCTCACTTCTTGGGGATGGGTGCTGGGGAGAGCGGCGGTCTAGCTTGCTCCAGGCAGGGAAGAGAAGTCACCAAAGGGCCACATCCCAGAGCTGACAGGAGGGGCCCTTCTGGGGCTCCTCCCCAGCCCCCCTCCCCGTGGCTGCGGGTGCCTGAGCACAAAAGCATTCCCAGGTGGCCCTTATGTCACCCCCAGGGACTATCCCCACTCAGTCACAGTCTGTGCAGCTTTTATTTCAATCAAGAAGTAATCAAATCTATATACAGTCTAAAAACAGTAGAAAAGGTGAGTAAAAAGGCCCACGGTCCATCTGGGGTGGGGATGGAGGGTGGGCCGGGCGAGCATCGTACCTGGCACCCAGAGGGAGGGGCTGGGCACTGTCTTGGCAGCGACGATCACAGGACCAAGCAGAGGGAGGCTCGCCGGGCACAGGGTGGGGAGGGCACTGCCTGGCCAGGGCACCTGCCTGCCCATCTCTGCAGGGCAGGCAGCAAGCGCCCCTTGAGACCCGTCACGCGGCCAGCCTGCTTTGGACAGGCCTAGGGCGGTCCCAGAGGAAGCCGAGACTGGTCTGGGTTCTGTCAGCAAGTCCAAACCTGCGGAGGAAGGGTCCCGTCTCAGCTGCCCCAACACCGCCCGCCATCCACACCCGCCCTTGGCTCCCGGCTTCTCAGCAGCACCCCCCCCCCCCAGCCCCACACGTGCAGCCCCTTTGGAAGGCCTGAGCTGAGGCACTGACCTTCACAGTGCTGTCCACAGCCCCGGAGAAGAGCCGGCCCCGGGACACGGCCAGCGCGGTCACGCTGCCCTGGTGACGCAGCAGTGTCTGCGTGCAGATCATGTTGTCCATGCTCCAGACCTGGGGGCACACGGAACGTGAGGGCGCGCCCGGGCTCGGCCGCCCACCGAGAGCCTGCCACCGTCACTAGGCCGACACGCACCCTGAGAGACCGGTCGTAGGACGCGCTGAAAACTTTGGTCTGGTCTGGCGTTGAGATGACCGCCAGGGCATATACGGTGCCAACGTGGCCTGTCAGGGTCCGCACCTGCTCCTTGGACTCGATGTCCCACACCTGAGGGAGTGGCGCAGGCAGGTCAGAGCCGCGGGCTCTGGGGAGGACCGGCGGCCCAGAGGCAGGCCCCGCTCCCAGGTGCCCGCCTTACATGGATGAGGTTCTCATAGGTACCGCAGACAATGTGGTGGTTCGTCACCGCGATAGAGTAGACGCTGCCACCAGATGTCTGCAGGACGTGGATGCAGTCGAGGGTCCGGATGTCCCAGATCTACGGACAAGCTCAAGCCGGTCGGTCCCAGCCAGGCACCTCACCCTCAGGGCCTCTGGGGGTTTGGACACTAACCGGCCCGCCCGCCACCCAGGATGTGCTTGAGGGCCTCCCCACCCCGGAAGCACGGGGGCAGGGTAGACTGAGCCCCCAGGGCTGGTGTGGGCAGCGCCGGCAAGGCCAAGAGTCTTCCCACTGGACGTGTGTGCGGACACACCTTGATTGTCTGGTAGGAGCCGCTGTACAGGTAGCTCTGGGCGGCCACCAGCGCCCGCACCCAGTGGTTGAGGCCCGTGAGCTCCTTCTTCAGCTTCAGTTCAGTGCCCACAATGTCCCACACCTGCGGGGATGGCCGTGAGTGTGGGCGGGGGCATGCGTGTCCAGCAGCCCCACGCCCCACACATGCACACGCGAGCCCTGGCCTGACCTTGATGGCCTTCAGGGAGCCGCTGAAGAGCATGTTGTGTGAGGAGACCAGCGTGCACACAGGGTTGTCATGGGCCCGGATCGTGTTCACCTTCTGCAGGTTCTGGATGTCCCACACCTGGCGGGAAGGACGACAGGAAGCCTCAGGCCGCGGTGGCACGGCGTGCCCGGGGTCCCGGGAGGCCGGTGCGGCCCAGGCCCCTCCTACCACGCGCTCGGCCCCACTCACGATGATGGTGCAGTCGGCTGAGCCGCTGTACAGCTTGCACCTGGGGGAGTGGAGCCACAGGGTCAGGGCAGGAGGAGCCGCCGTCATCGCTGGTGCGGCCATGCGGGGCTGGGCAGAGGCCACCGGGAAGCCACCAGGAACCGGCAGTCTGGCCTGGCTCCTCCTGCTTCCCCGATCCGGGAGATCCTGTCCCGGCGGGAACCTTGGGGGTGGAAGCCCGGCCCCTGCTGCCTGCCCGGCAAGCAGCTGCGAGGTAACTACCCCATTAGCCATTAGCGCTGCCGGAGGCCAAGCGGCAGCGCCTGGGGGCGTGCCTCTCTCCCTCTTCCGCCCGCGACATAAAGTCTCATGACACAAGACAGGAGGAAAGGTGGAGAAGGGGCTACTCTGGGGGTGAGGGAGTAGCCGTGCCGACTACTCTGGGGTCCCGGCCCCGAGGCTCTGGCTACAGGCCAGCGAGTAGTGGCTGAGCTCCCACCTCCCCGAGGCACTCCAGCGCGGGGACCACACGCTGTGAACGGACATCTTCGGACAGGGAGACCCGCGTGCCACCATGTGGCCCTGCCAGGATGAGGGTGCCCCGCAGGAAGGGTAAACACAGCCACCTGAGGACACCCTCACCCTCACCCCTAACCCTCACCCTAAGCCTTCTAACACCTATAAAGAACGTAGCCACACGGGCTCGAGCTCACGGTCCGTGGGGGCAGCACCGAGTCTCCCGTCCCCAGCTCCACGTGGGCACCACGCGTGCCCTCACTCACCCCTGGATACAAAGAGCCAGCACAATGCCGTCATGGCCTTCTAGCGTCTTCTGGCACTTGTAGGTGGTACACGTGTCCCACACCTGCAGAGGCCACGATCAGGGTGGGTCCCCGCAGGATCGGCCCAAAGCCAGGGGGCGGCATGGCCCCCCTCAGGCTGCAGACCACCCTCTTTGGGCAAGACCTTGCTCACCTTGATGGTCTTGTCAGAGGAGCCGCTGAAGAGCAGGTCCCCCATGGAGTAGACACAGAGACACCAGACAGGGCCCTGGTGGCCCACGAAGGTTCCCTTGCACTTGAAGATCTGTTGCGGGTCATAGGCTGTGGAGACGGGAGGAGCCGGTGAGGGCCCGGAGGCGCCCAGGGGCGCCCGAGGGGGCGGCAGCAGGCCTGTACTCACATCCGAGGATGCCCGTGTTCAGCCGCGCGTTGATGTGGGACAGCTCGTCCTGCCAAGGCCATGAGTAGAGGGGATGCTGACTGTGGTCCCGAAGTCCCCGTCCCCACGTGGCGGCGGCTGCCTCAACCCCCCCCCCCCCCCCCCCCCCCCCCCCCCCCCACGCACAGACACCTGAACCCTGGCAGGGAGGCAAGCCTCCCGCCGGGGCCTAGGCTGCAGGGTGGTCCTGCGTCCCCACCCCACCCGCACCCCCGCACCCCCGCACGCGGCCCCTTCCTGCTCACGTTCAACATGGACGCATCCCTCCGGAACTCCATGAGGTCCTCGCTGAGCTTGCTCTGGTTTTCGTCTAGAACATCTGAGTGGCGAGGAAGAAGGTGTCAGGGACTGGAAAGAGGGGCCTCGCCCCTGCCTCTCTGGGCAGGGCCCTCACCGAACTTGAGCTCCAGGCTCTTCTCCAGCTGGTCAATCTTCTCCGAGAGCTTGCCCAGCATGGAGCGCAGGAAGGCGATCTCCTGGTCCTTCTGGGCCAGCGCCACGTGCATCTCGTGGAAGCGGTCGTCCGTCTGCTGCAGGAACTCCTTCAGGCCCTCGAAGCGGCAGGTCTCCAGGTGCGTCTCATACGTGTCCTGGTTCCCGATGAATGTGCACCTGGAGGGACAGGACGGCTGCCCTGCCCACCTGCCCTCCTGGTGGGGGCCCGCCCCCGCCCCCCCACCTCCCTACACCTGCTGCCCGCCCACCCATCCTGCTCCCACTCAGCCCCCAGCAGGCCACTTTGGGATGAAATCTAGTCTTTCCGCTCCCGCTCAAAGCTCTTGAAGGCTCTTCCACGCCCTTTGCCAGCCTCCCAGTCCTGCCTCTTCCCTCTCCCACCGCCCCCCTGCTCTCCACCCCATTCGTGCCGCCGGTCCAGCTGCCCGAAGCCCTCACAGTGGTCTGCAGCTCACACCTCCAGGTGCATCAGTTCTCAGGGCCCGCCTTCCCTGACCTCCCAGCTCCCCGGCCACCCCGACCCTCTGCACTCCCGCAGGGCTCAGGTCTCTCCTCCACGGCACCCGTTACACGGCCCACGTGGCTCCCGCTAAGGTGAGCCTCCCCAGGACCCTGGCTGTCTCCCCAGCGCCTAGCGCACAGGCCCATCTCAGCAAGGGTTCGCTGAGGGAGGGACTGTGAACACAGGCCTGAGGCCCCGCCCCCCCCGTGTGCCCGCCCCCGCCCACTCACCCGTACTTAGAGTGGGGACACTTGATGTGCTCACACTCCTTGAGGTGGGCCTCCAGGTTCATCTTGAGGAGGGGCGGGCAGCTGGGGTTGTTGGGGCACCGCACGGGCCTGTAGTCGCAGCTGCCCTCGTGGTCCCTTTGGGAGGCGGGCGTGAGTCCCCGGAGGCGCCAGCTCTCAGCGCCCCCGGGAGGCGGGGCCAGGGGCCGAGGGGAGCACTTACTTCCGAGCGCTGAGCTTGATGGTAAAGGGGCACCCGCGGGGGTCCACCTCAAAGACGGCAGGCTTCCCAGCCCCCGCCGCCCGGCAGCCGTGCCTGCAGTGGATGAACAGCTCCCCGATCTGCTCGGCCACCGCGATGTTGTTCACCACCACCGTCAGCTTGGCGTGGTCCACGGGGCACTTCTCTGGAGGGGAGGGTATGCTGACCCCACCGTCCACCTGGCCGTCCCCTGGCAAGTCCCCATGCGGCAGGCCCACAGCACGCTCCCTGGGCTGCCCATCTCCCTGCCCCACTGGCATGCCTGACGCAGGTTAGGGGCACAGCCGGGCTACCTAGAGTGACCGCGGGCCGCTGGGCTGACTCAGGAGTCTGGGGCGGGGTGGGGGGAGCTGGGGCAGAGCCCGGAAGGAACAAGCCCCGGGCCCAGGCGCCAGGGCCTGAGAGGCTGAGGCGGGCAGCACCACCGGCAAGGGCACTTTTGCGGGAGACGGCTGGGGCCGAGGGCAGGAAGCTCCGAGCTGGGGGTCTCACTGCTTCACCAGTCAAGGTCTGGAGCCTGGCCCGAGCACCCCATGGCAGAGATGCTAAGGGCAGGACTAGGGAGAAGCCACCATGTGCCAGGGGCATAATCTGTGCTGGGCCTGGGCTGGGGCCTCTGTGGTGGGGCCCTTCCAAAGCGGGGGAATGAGGTGGCCAGGCCTGGGGGGAGGGACCTACCTGACTTTAAGGCGCATCTTCGACAGAACGTGTGCTGTGGAGACAATGGGTGGGCTTGGGGCATGGCCTCAGAGCCGCCCCCACCCCTAGCCCACATGGAGGACAGTCTCCGGGTGGCCCCGCCATGGTGCCCGCGTTAGGGACAGGCGGCCTCACCCCACATGTGGTGATCACGGGGTCCTTGAACACGCCGCAGCACAGCTGGCAGCACAGCTTCACCGAGGGCTGCTCGGCAAACACCAGTGGTTCCTAGAACCAGGCAGGGCAGCGTGAGGGTGCCGGGCGTCGAGGGGGCGGGGTGGGGGTGCGGAAGCAGAGAGGACCCCTCCAGCCACACCCTTGGCCCTGCGCGCTTGCTCTCCAGCAGTGATGGAGACCAGAAGACCCCACAAGGGTGCCGCGCTCACTCCCCAAAGCCGGTACCCCGGTAGCCCCCACCCCCGTAAGGGCTGAGAAGTGGGAAGAGTGGGCCTGGGGGAGGAGGCCGTCCCACCCCCCCTGGAGGGGGCGCCTGCGGGGGCGGACACACCTACCGGCTCCTCCTCCTCCTCAGGCAGCGAGAAGGTGGAGCGCAGGGACATGCTGGACTCCGAGTGCAGGGAGCGGACGGAGATGGCCGAGTCGGAGCGGCGTGGGGTGCTGATGGGGGGCTGCGGCACACAGGGACAGACCACCCGTCAGCCGCCGCGTGTGCCCGGGAAGCCGCCGGGGCACCCGGGCCCCTGCCGGCCCGGCAGTCCCGGCCCTGTGGCTGGGCCACCCGCTCACGTCTGCCAGCTTTCTTTGTGTAAATGGAGAGACTTCCTGCTATTCAATTCCAGGAGGACGCGCTCGCCTGGCCTGCTTCCTGCTTCCCGTGAGGGAATGTGGGCTGCACAGGGGGCACCTCCATCAGCCAGTCCCGGGCCGGCCTCCGCACCCGCACTGCCAGAGGAAGGGAAGGCCAGCAGAGGCTTGGGGGCTCCAGGTCCCCTCGGGCTTGGCCGCCCGTCTGGCTTCCGTGGCTGGGGACACGAGGCCGGGCCACTGAGGCTCCCAGGGAAGGCAGGTCCCCACTGAACCCTGGCCAAGATTCTCCGAGGGAGAGCCATGGGTGCCTGCCTCTGCCTCAGTCACTGAAGATGAGGATCTGGGGGAGCCCTGGGTGGGGGGAACTGTCCCTTCCGCTACCCTTGGCCTAGAACCCCCCCCAGTAAAGGTCCTGTAAGAGCCACTGCTCCCCTCCCAGCCCGCGGGCCCCCTCCCGGTCCCGGCCACTCTGGGGAAAATCCCCTCCCCAGCAGCCATGGGTGAGTCACAGGTCACAGGGGTCAGAGCAGGCGGAGCCAGAGGGAGCAGGGTGCAATGTGTCTGCACGTTTGTCCTTAGAGAAGGCCTAGCGCAGCGCCTGGCACACAGAGCATTTGAGTAATTAAAAACACCGGTTTTCTTCATATTAAATAGGAAACGAAGGCCTAGCAGCCCAGCACGAGAAGGCTTAGGTCCTGGGAGGCTGGGGGGACAGGAGAACCAGCTGGCGTCTGTGGGGCCACCACACCAGCGAGGATCCCGAGAACCCGTGAGGGAAGGCGGACAGCGAGGCTCGGCAGAGGTGAGCGGCAGGAGGGCCCGAGCCAGCCCCTCGGCCAGGGCAGGCCCTCACTTCCGACAGGCCCAGCGCCCAGCGGCCCGGGCCGGTGGCCGGACAGGCAGGGAACAGCCGCTGTGACCCTGGCCGCACGGCCTGGGCACTGAAAGCCAGCGCCGACTCCCCCCAGCCCCTCCTCACTGCACACAGCCAGCGGCAGGAGGCTCTCCCTGTCTCACTCGCACGTGCGTCATCCCCCGGCTCGGGCCGCCCTCCTTCCAGCCACCCGCTCACCTTCCACCTGCCTGCCCTCCCTCTCAGCCTCCACTCGATAGAACCTTCTGTGGCTCCCACAGCCTCCAAGACGGAGCTGAACACACTTCAGCCCAGCCCGCAGGCTCTGCACCCTCTGGCCCCACCGCTCCCTCCTCCATGAAGTCCACCCACGGTTGCGTAGGCCTCACGATGTCCAGACATGGACGCCCTCCGCCTCACCAGCCCACCGGACCCTGCAGACCTTAGCTCAGGGCACGCCTCGAGGCGGAGCCTCCCCTCCTGCCACCCCTGGGACCTGGCCCTGGGGAAGGAGGGCATGGCCGGACGCTGTGCGGAGAGGCGAGCTCGGCACAGACCTACCATGCTATCCTCCTCGTCCCGCGGTGAGTACGCGAGGGTGCTAGAAGAAGACGGGGTCCTGCGGTGCTGTTTGTACGTGCTGGTCCCATCGGCTGCCAGGAAGAGAGGGTGGGGACGCCATGAGTGTGGTCCAGACGGGAACGCCTGGCCCACCGTGGGGGCAAGTGGGCTCCCTGGGGGGACGGGCCCTGTGGGAGCAGGGGCTGGGCCAGATAGGGGTTAACCCCCTCTGGGAAGTCTCCTGTCCCCACCCGCTCCCGGGGCCTCCTCGATCTGAGGGCCACTTGGCTGGGGCTGGGATCATGGGCAGCTGGGAACCACCCTGCCCCCGGCAGGGGCCTGAGCAGGGCAAGGGCCAGAGTGCGAGCTGGCCTGAGCCCCCAGTAACTCCCTCCCTTCACCCTTCCCCCCCCCCTCCGCCAGAGCCCTGCGCCCTCAGCCCCCTCCAGGGCCAGGCAGGTGGGGAGGGCACGCCCTGGGGCTAGGCGGGCTCAGGGAGCCCCCCAGGCCAATCCTCTGTGCCTGGAGCCCCAGGCCCCCGACAGTCACACTCCCAAGGCAGGCTGAAGGTGGGCTGGAGGATCGCCTGTGTCTGCAAGGTGCCAGCACCAAGCCTGACCCGGGGGCTGCCCTGTGCCCAGCTGAGGCAAGAGACTGACATCTGAGTGATTACTGTGGAGGCTGCTTGGCAGGAGGTGTGATATCGTCTTGTTTGGCCCTCAAGGTAACCCGCTGGGGCGGGGGTGGGTCCTCTGGGTCCTCAGTGCCCAGAGGAGGAAACAGAGACAGAGGCCTGCGGCCCCGGGCTGGTGTGTGGTGGGGACTGACAGGCAGCCCACTGTTTGGGTCCACTGGTCTCCCACCTGCTCCCCTGGCCAGAACCTGGAACCACCCTCGGGCCTCCTCAGCCCTCCAGGGAAGGTGCTGGTCGGGAGTCCATGCGGCAGCCAGAGGCCCTGGGGTAGCCACCCCAGGGCCTCTGGCTCCGCCCAAACCCCAAAGGCCTGGGTTTATGATTCAGGCTTTAAGCAGCTGCCCTGTGACTGGGCCTCAGTTTCCCTATCTGTGAGAGGGGCCAGGTGAGGTGACTGTTCTTGCCCAGCTCTGACCCATCCCTGCCACTGATGGGGTTGCTGGGTGGGGTGAGAGTGAGACTGTCTGCCCCCCGGGCGCGGGACTGCCGTGACCGGGATGCTCAGATTAGGGGAGATGTTTATTTATTCTCAGGACAAAACACCTAAGAGGGAAAAGGGGCACTTTCAGAGCCCCTGACTGGGCCACCCTGGGGCAAAGAGGGGTCGATGTGAGCACGTGTGTGCAGTGGTCCTGTGGCCTCACTGTCAAGTACATCTAGAGGGAGCCCTGGAAAAGCAATTAAAAACTGACTCCACCTATGAGGAGCAGAGTACCAAAATGGCTCAGGAACAAAGTCCACCCCTGAGTCCCCAGGCCTGCTGAGGGAGGCCACACGCCCTCACAACTCGGGAACGGAGGCCGTGCCCCGGGCTGTGAGTTCCTCAAGACCTCCTCGGACACACAGCCCTGAGCTGGACCCGGTCTAGAGAAAGGACCCCCGTGAGTACTTCTTACCACCTACTCGTGCCGGGTATGGCCCGCAGTCCCGACCTTTCAGAGGCTGCTAGGCACTAGCGTGAGGGACAGGGCTGCGTGGGGGTGCTGGGGAAGGTGGAGCACCCCCCCGCCCCCAGAGGTAATGGGTGAGGCCCTGGGATGCCTGGGGAGAAGGATGCAGCAGCAGAGGTGGGGGGAGGGGGCGACAGGCAGCCTGGGGCCCACCTGCCTGCTCTCCAACACCAATGCCCCCTCCTCCCCACCAGGACGTGCCCCGCAGACCCCAGCCGGAGTAAGGGCTGCCCAGATTCTGCTCAGCCCGCACTGGCCTGGACTCACAGGCTGGCTCACCTTTTGTGATGGTGGTGACGGCCGAAAAGGCAGGCCCGAAGGTCGTTTCCATTCTGGTCTGGACAGGACAGATGAGACTTGGCACTGGCCCCCAGAGAGGACGTGTACACACACACACACACACACGGACGTGTGCTGACACGCTTTCGCACCACTGTGGTCATGTGCACGCGTACACAGACACGCGGCACGGGCCCTCCAGGTAGGGAGGGGACGGCTCTGGAGGCCCTGCGGGGACTCCGGGTACACAGAGTGAGCACAAAGGGGAGACCCTTCCCCACGAGGGACCCTCTTACCCCGGGTGCGACGTCTGGAGTGGGAAGGTTGGCGGGCCCCCCAGAGAAGCGGTTGTAGCGGGCGTTCTTGCCCGAGCTCATGCTCTAGAGAAGCATCTAGGGTCCGCGGGCAGCATCTCCTGAGGGGGAGCACGATGGTGGGGATGGTGGCCTAGGCGGGCCAATTGGCCAGAGCAGAGCCACATGGCCAGGCCTGCTCTGGCTGGTCCACTCCAGGCATACCCTGGCCTCTCCACCACCAATGCCAACAAGGGCGGGTCCGTGCGGGCAAAGTCTCTTCCCCTCCCTCCCATCCCAGGTATGCACAGGCCCAAGGAAGGGAGGAGGCCCTGGGGGCAGGCAGGCAGGCAGCTGGCACTCAGCTCTATCTTCCTTCAAGGCCCAACCTTTTGGAAGAGCCACCACCCCCCTCCTCCCCCAAGAGGCAGAGAGCCACAGCCGTGCTCTACATGACCCTCTGGGTCGGAGGGCAGGTGCCCCTGGAGCCAAGGCCGGGTCGTGGTGTGGCACATGGGGCGGGATCGAGCCACCTGCCTGTTTACTGCCAGGGCAGTGCAGTCTGGCCCTGGACGGTCCCAGTCTGTAGGATGGAAGGACGCTGGCCACACCCCAGACAACCTGTGGGTGATGTACCTGGGGCCCGGCCTCTCGGGGCCTCATAACACAGACAAAGCCCCTTTGGGGCAAGGGGAGGAGAGGAAAGCCCTGATTCCAGACCTTGTGCAGTCACCCACCCTGGAAACAGGGGACGTGTGCTTACTTCCCAGCTGCTGACTCAGGACTCACCAGGCGGAGGTGTGGGGAGAGGGCCCAGTGGAATTCAGCCTGGGCCTCTGAGCACCAGCCGCCCTAGACGGGGGGCCTGGCCACTAGAAGAAAGGGGACCAGCCCGCAGCCCCGATCTGGAGAGCCTGGGGAAAGCCGCTCCACTGCCAGGCAACGCCCGCTGTCCCGGAGGCCCTCCCGGGGGCAGCGTCCACAGCGGGGTCTGCACCCCATCTCCTGCCACAAGGCCCCAGCTTCAAGCCAGGCTCGCCGCGAGGAGGAGCACACGTGAGCTCTCTGTCCAGGAGACCCCTGGTAACACAGCGCCCCTGCGAGGCCACAGTGTGGGCTCATGGCCTGTGGCTAGGCCGGGCCAGGGCGACCAGTGTCGGGGACTCCCGGGGAGGCCGGCGCAGCTTGCTCCCATGGGGCGGAAGGGCACGTGCAGGCTAGGGCCCAGCCTGTGGTCCGGAGGCCCCGCAGGACTGAGGAGGGGGCTCCAGGTGGAAGGGCGACCGAGCCACCTGGCCATGTCTGCCTCACACACACCATAGCCACTCGGTGGTCCTCGAAGCCGACCTAGGGGTCTACAGGGAGGAGCCAGATCTGGAGCCTTGTAGTTCCCACCGTGCTCCTGAGAGACCCGTCACGGCTCCCCACCGTCTCCTCTCGCTCCTGCCCCTTTGAATGCCACCTGCAGTGCAACCCCCCGAAGTCTTCCAGACTCAGGCCTCAATGGGGTAGCTGTCAGTCTCTGCGCTGGGCCCTGCCACCCATGCTCTCAGTGTCCTGTGGGTCCAGCTAGATAGGAGGGGGGGAGGGGCCCCAAGACGTTGGCCAAAGCCTCCCCCTCTGCCCACCACCGCCCTGCTGTGACTCCAGTCCAGGCTCTCTGGGGCCTTGTCCCCATGGGGGAGTGGCAGGGGCTCCTGAGAGTGGGCAGTATCAGGCCCTTGGCGGAGGGGTGACTGGGGCGGGTCCAGAAGCCCCACCCCCAGGGCTGCTGCCCGTCTCAGTGCTAAGCAGGAAATGTTGGGGCCACCCTGCTTGGATAAGGACACCACAGTTGGGGTGAGGCCCAGAGAGCTCCAACTTAAGAGCTCCAGGACTCACCTTTTGGGAAACCCAAGGTCGGCTGCTGCCTTGGCACCAGGGGGCATGCCAGGAGGAGGCTGGGGGTGGGTCGCGGGGAGACAGCCGGCCCGCACTGACCTGCATTTTACAATCCATCTGCTCCCTCTGCCGCAAGCTCCTGAGGCCCAGAGGCCGGCTGCTGGCTCCAGCGAGCGGCTGCCGTGGTCCCGGCGGCCGGGACCCCAGCAGGGACTCCCCCCAGGACAGCAGCCAGCCCGCCAGCCCCCATGGGGCCTGTGTGCCTGCTGCTCAGTCTGAGGGAGCAGGCGTCTGGCTCTCCCTCACTCTGGAGTGAAGTAAACAGAAAGGCACGCAGGGCAACATGCAAATCGGCTGGAAAGTCCCCTGACAGCCCAGAGCGGCCAGGCCGGCAGACACACAACCCGGAGGGGGGGAGGGGGGGCGTACAGACTGGCCAGAGAGCAAAGCGGAGCCAGGGAAGGAGGGAACCGCTTCCCCAGTTACATGGGTGGGCATGCGGCCTCAGCCAGGGACCCGAGGTGGGCGGGACCTGCAGGCCACTGGTCCCCCCAGCCATGCACCCCGAGACCACAACAATCACATCCTACCCTAAGCGTCCTGGAAGTGAGCAAGGTGCCGTGAGGCTTCAGCCGCACTCCCCCAGGGGCTGCGTTTTGCAGTAACAGCCTTCGCTGGCGTCCCCCTGTGGGCCCAAACCCGGGAAACAACAGCACAGCTGCGCACTCCCCCCCCCCCCCCCCCCCGGGGTTGGCCTCTGACCACCCCGCAGCAGGCCTGGAAGCAGGAGGACAGGACCTGTCGGCTAGACATCTGGGCGCTCCCCAAGTGGGAAAAGCTGTGGGCTGGGCCTGCCCAGCGCTGCTGGGGGGTGGGGGAGACAGGACTCCCCACGCAGCTCCCCTTCCCTCCCTGGCCGAGACCCCCACCCTGCCTGCTCCAGGTGCCTTGGCAGAGCCCAGGCGGGGGACCCGAAGATCCTATCCCTAAAAGAGACAAGACCGCATGCAGGTCCTGGGGGCCATGGGGCTATCTGCCTCAGGTAAGGCTGGTGGGACAGCGGCGCCCAGGGTCACTGCCAGAGCAGCCCCCCTGCCTGAGCCTAGGGTCAAGGCCCAGGATCTCTGTCCACCCATGTCCATGTCCAAAGGGCTCCTGGGGCCCCGGGGCGCACTCCCTGCCCGACAAGGAAGTGGAGATCCACCTATAATGCCCCAGTCCCTCTTCAGGAAAGCCCCCCACCAACCCTGCTCTCTGGGCAGCCTGCACCAGAGGGCAGGCCAGCTCCCTTAGGAACTACCCCCCCCAACCCCCCCGCCCCGGACGGAGGCCAACTGGATCTGCTAGGCCCTCACGCTTGGGAATATGGCACACAGGTCCCCCACTGTGGTCCCTGTGGCTGGCAGCCAGCAGAGTGGGTAGTGCAGGCTGTAAATGCTGGGGGGCGGGGAGCAGTGGGATGGGCAGAAGCGGGTCTGCGAGGGCCAAGCCCCTCCTTGAGGAGGCTCCTCCAGCAGCTCCAGGCACTGGGCCCGGTGGGGTCCCCTGAGCAGCACGTGCTGAGCCAGGGATGGGGGTAGGCTGGCCCTGGAAATGCCATCAGGCCACATGTTTAGTGGTGACTGCCCCAGGGTACGCACAGGTGGCTCAGGACACCTCAGCCGAGACTGGCACGGAGCCTTGGGTGGCCACCAGATGCAGCCCCGAGTCACTCACAGACCACCCAGCCCCTGGGCCAGCCTCTGCCGGGCCCCTGGCCCACACCCAAGCTGGGCTGCCAAATCCTATAGAAACAGGCCGCGTTGCCATAGCAAAGCCGTATACAGCTCCCCCAGCTGTTCCCTGATGTCCCCTCCACACGTCTTTTCCATCCCAAACAAGCCAGGTGTGACGTCAGGGCTCCCCTCAGCACCTCAGCAGGCCCTGGTTTGAGGCCTGCCCAGCCTCCTTCCCTCCCAGCACCCAGCCCCGGCCTCTGCCCTCACCCTCCATCCTTCCCTTTGTGCCCGCAGTTCCTAATCCAGCGTGGCCTCGAGGTTGCCAGACCAGACACCTGCCGTGGCCTCCTGTCCCCAGGGCTGTGTCCCTGCACCCCCCACCAACCTCTCCAGCACCCACAGACCCCTCTGCTGGAGGGAGGGCATCCTTCCCGCTCAGCCACCCTGGCTGTAACCCCCACTCAGCCATCGCAGTGGCTTTACCTCCCCACAAGCCCCCCGGGGCCACCTCCCGTCCTTCCTCTCTCGACACTGGATGGCCGCATACAAGGTGTACACCTGACGCAGTCGGGGGGGGGGAGGCTCTTAGAGAGCTTCCCAGAAGGGGCTGCCCACATCCAGAGCAGGGAGACTATTCTGGAAAAAGGGGGTATATGTCCTCCTATCTGAGCACCTGGCTGTAGGGGCCACTTTTACCCACCCACACCCTTCCTCCAACTCAGGGTCTGGGCCAACCAGGGCTGCAGAGGCACAACGGGGAAGCATGTCCCAGGCTGTCTTCAATCAGTGCATCTAGGGGCCCCCAGCTGGCTTAATTGGAAGGGTGTGTGACTCTTGATCTTGCAGTTGTGAGTTCAAGCCCCACGTAGGGTGTAGAAATTACTTAAATAAATAAAACTTAAGACCGAAAAAATCAGTGACTCTAAATTTGTGGAGACAGGTCCTGGGCCTCTCCCCAAGAGCCCAGTGACACCTCGGGCCCAGGCTACGCCTCCAGGCCGCCCTGGCCGTTTCCGCCTCCCTGCCTTCCTCTTTCTTGGTTCCCTGCAGAAGCTTGGGGAGTGTACCCAAAGTCCCAGGCCGGAGGCGGCCCTGGACGTGTGCCAGCCCGTTCCACTGTCCACTCCATGCCCTTCCAGGCCAGACCGTGGCACTACAGTCTTCATGGCACATTCCTTCAGTCCTGGTGTCCACAAGGCTGCTCCTTCCCCTGGAGACAGCCAACCGCCAGGCCTCCATGAGCCGTCAGCACCGGCCCCCGGGAGCACTTCCTCCTTCATCTGCCCTGTCTGACCCCAAGCCCCTGCAGGGAGAAACCGAATTTCTTCTCCAATTCTGCGGCAGGGCCAGAACACCGGGGATGCCCTGGGGCATCTATTGAAAGTTGCTGGTACCTCCGCATAACCAGCCAAATGGCCTGGTGAAGTCCTAGGAGCCCACCGAACAGCAAGGCCAGGCCGATGGGGCTCCAGGTTCAGAGCAAGTTATGTCCTGCGGACACTTCCCAAGGCTGGGCATTCGCTGGCACTTCACATACGTGCTTATACTGACCCCTCCAAGTGTTCTTTATGGCGATGGAACAGCACGATGGTCAGGCCGTAAGTGCTGGACTCAGACCTGGGTTCAAATGCCACCTGGGCCGCCTAACAGCTGCGTGACTTTGGGCAAGTCAGGGGCTCCAATTTCTCACCCGTTACACGGCGTGGATGTAACCCCGTCTGGAAGGAGCTGCGAGAGGTGCGGCGGTGGTGAGGCCTCCGCCCACAGCAGCCCCTGTTCGAGGGTCAAAAGTGGAGGTTGGGAGGCCTGGACTTAGAGCCCCCAAGGGGTCACGCCAAGGCCAGCCAAAGCCCTATTCTGCCCCCAAACCGAGGAGTCCACGGTGCACCAAACCCAGCCCCCGCCACACCGCACCGGGGAGCAGCCACACCGCGCGCCCAGGCTGCCCGGGGCCATCCAACCAGGTCAGGCCCTTCAACCACATCTCTCCTGTTTCCCAAACTCTGATTTTGCAGCCGGCCGGCTGGCCGGCCCTGTGCAGGTAAGAGGGCGTGTGGCAACGGCTGAATGGGAGTCTGACCTTGAGATGCTAGGGAGCCTGTAGGCAGAGGCTTGGGAGTACTACTAAGCCCCATTCAAGCTGCCAAAGGCACTTTTCTGTGGGCTCCTATGCCCGCAAAGACAATACTTCAGACTCCGATCTATTCCATTCATTTCCAGATCTACTGTGTGTGACACACAGCCACAGTGGGGGTTACTCCTCAGAGATCCCTCAGGAAGGAAGGCCTCCCCTCCTTCCCAGCTGGTTACCTCCCTCAGCCAGGCTGCCAGGACCCCCGCTTCCCCGCAGAGCGAGCTTGTGGCTTCCTGGGGACAGTGCAGCTGGAACGTGTAGAACCCTGAGACACCGAGGCTGGGGATTCCATGGAGAAACGTGGGTGCCCAGAGCAGTGCAAGTAGGGATGTATGATAGAGAGGCAGTGCCTGCCGCACAGGCTTGCAGGGAAGGGGTGTGGGAAGGGAGAGTCCCAGAGAGAAGGAATGAGGAAGAGGGAGGCCACATGCTTGGCAAAGGCCAGAGGGTGGGCAGCCCCCAGGAGAGGGGGCCTGCGTGTGCACAGGAGGGGTCTGAGGGATGGGGAGAAGGGTGGACAGGCAGCGTGGGCAGCCTGGAGCTCTAAGCAAGGGTGGCAGCAAAGCAGGGTGGAATCCCCAGCCCTACCCTCCACCCATGTCCTGCCAAAGCAGGCTGGGACCTAGCAACGCCTCAAGGCAACGAGGCCCACGCTGTCAGACCCGGTGAGTGGTGGGGGCCAAGTCTCCCACTGCTCTCCTCTACACACAGCCGATCTTTACCAGACTTGGATCTGAGGTTGGCTCCCCTGTGCTTGAGTCCTCCAGCAGCCTCCCTTGCAAGTACAATACAATCCCTGCCACCAGGCACTCTGGTCTGGCTGGCCCCGTGGACTAGGCCTCTCACCCCTCTGCCAGCACTTACTGGCGCACCAAGCCCTTTCTCGCGCCGGGCCTTTGCACATCTTGCTCCCTCTGCCTGCCTTGCTCTTCCAGCAACTTCCCAAGACAAGCCTCGTGCTGTAGGCATCTCCTCCCTCAGCAAGCCACTCGGGAGCGCCCAGTACTCTTTCTCCGTGCCCTGCTTCTCTCCAAGCACCTATCACAACTCTTCAGGATTGTGTGTGTACTGTGAATCCCTCCCCGCTCTCCACGGCCGGTTCTCAAGCCAGGGTGTGCAGGGAGAGGGAAGGATTTTGTCCCCCAGGAGACGTCTAGCAGTGTCCGGAGGCACTTGATTGTCACGACGTGGGGATGGGAGAGGTTCCTGGCATCTAGTGGGTGGGGACCAGGGATGCTACTCAACATCCTACAAAGCACAGCAAAGAAGGATCGGCGCGAAGTGTCAACAGCAGCCGGGCTGAGAAAAGCTGCAGAAGAAGAGCCTACGAGAACTGGGTCCCCAGCGTCGCGCAATGAACACAGGAAAAAGAATAAAGAAGGGGAGAATGGGGCAATGGGGTGAGCGACCGACAGACGCCCCAAGATCCCGGCTCAAGTCGGCCCCGCCCCCCCAGGCCCGACGCCTCCGCGGACCCCAAAGCGCCTACCGCCCGGCCCCGAGGCGCGAGCTCCGGGCCGAGCGCGCCGCGCGGACACTCACCCGCCCGCGGCCGCCCGGGAGCGGCCGCGCTACCCTCCCGCTTCATCGTGTCCCCGCGGCCGCTGGCCGGGAGAGAGACAGGACGCGCGAGCCGGAAGCGCTGAGACGCTATGCCTGCCGGGATTTGTAGTTCCTCGTCTTTCAATGCCCTGGTCACCGCCTCACGCGCGGCTCCTCAGAAACTATGACTTCCGGCGGTTCCGACGTCGCGGGGCGGGATTGGCAGCTTCAGAATCACTCTATGTTACAGATCGGAGTCTGATTGGTTGTGTGCATCTGTCGCTCACAGTTAAGTTCCAAGGCCTCTGCTAAAGGAAGAAGCTGTGAGAGTCCGGTCCAGGAGACCGGGGGCGGGTACTTCCGGCATGATTGCCCAATCGCAGAGGTAGAGCAGTTTCTATAAAAGCTTGAGCCTCGCACCCTTGCCTCCTTTTGGGATCTAGTGGCGGCGTTAGCGCCTTGTCTCTGTTGGCACCGTTAGCCTACGTCAGGGGAGGATCTGGGCACCGAGTGGGGGGTCCCCCAGGGCCATCTTCCGCCTGGGGTCCGCCTCTGTCCTCAGCGCCGCACATGCTTTTTGCTCCGCCACCCCCTCCCGCTCCTTTGGGGAAGTGCGACTTCAGACCAACTGCAGGTAAGCCTGGGCCGGGCCTGGTTTCCCCTATACAGCTTCGAGCCTATGATGAATTGCTTTTATTTCTGACACCTCGTATGAAAACTGCACGTGCAGTCTGATTATTTTGCAAGACTGAGGCTTCGGGGGCTGGTGTGAAACTATCTCGTCCAAAAATCGGGGTGGCGGGCTTGTGTCTACATTTCGGCTCTGTGTCTGACTTTCAGGGCGGTCGGTGACGCGGTTGGAGACCCTGAACGTAATGAACGTCAGCCCCGGGGGCCTGGTGGTAAGGCGGGAGTCCTCGTCCGTGTCTGCGGCGTTTAGCAATAAAACAGAGGTGGTGAGTTGATGGGAGCGCAAGTGTCTTTATTTCCACACGCGTTTGCACCCTAGAGGACTCCGCGGAGGACTGGCTCGTCCCGGGCAGTCTTGGGAAAGGGTAGAGGAAAATGGATATTCACACAGTGACTTCTCAACCTTTGGGGCTGCCTTCTCCATTCCTTGTCGGTGAGACCTGAAACCCTGGTGTTGGGCCTTGGTCTTGGGCAGGTGAGGAATTCTTACTCCTCTAGCCACGCATCGAGCGCTGTTTTCTGTTTCGTTGGGTCTTACGGAGGGAAGTGGATGTGAACCAGTTACGTTCCCCATGCTCCCTAGGTGGCATTGGGGTTCCAAGCAGCGCTAGGTGACAATACCACCCTCTTAGTGTTGTCTTCGACCTGCACTTTGCCCAGGGCGCAAGAAGGGGATTTTTTTCCAACAGAAGAGAGCGGCTGTTCAGAAAACACAACTTTATTCACTAGGACTGAAAACAAAGACTGTTAGTTTAAACACCAACCTACGAGATGCAGCACGCTGCCAGCCTCCTGGCTTGACCTTGCTCTGCACAGGCCTTAGCTGGGCTGGCAGCTCTAGCTTCCCTGACGTCTTAGCATTTCCCACATGCCGTTCGTGTATTACAAAGCCGCAAACTTGGTGTCCTCAGGGTAACACGGAAGGAAGACCCTGTTGGTGTTTGAACCAGTCTCTGAGTGTGTGGGCTGGCAGCACGTGGCTCTGGTCCTTGGGGCACAGATGCGTGACTGGCTGTTCAGCGAGGCCCTCTGCCTCGGGCACGGGCAGGAGGCTGGCCTTTGCCTGCCTGGGCAGCGTGTGTCGCTGAAGACAATGGCTTTCTGAGGGGTTAGGCACGGTACACCCGGGGCTGGCCTTGAAGCTGGGCGTGTCCAGGAGAGGGCAGCAGAGTGCCATGGCCACAAGACCAGGCTCTCTGCACAGGCTTACATTGCGGGGTGCTCCCCTCCTGTGCGGGACACGGTTGCTTTTCCATCAAGGCCTTGGGGGCAAGGCGCTGCGGCGGCGGCAGCACACGAAGGAGGCCTGCAGACCCATCGGCTCCGTGAAGCCTGTTGGAACTGAGGCTTTAAGGAAAGGCAAGGCTCAGTCTGGGACTGACCACCAGAGGACCCTCTGTCCCGCTTTGCATGGGCCTCCTGGAGGTCGTGCGGTGGCAGTGCCCAGTCAGGTTCAGGGTCTGCAGCAGGAGGCCCCTCGGCCTTCCCTCTTGACATAGTCGTGCAGCCGGAAGCGTGGCTCACTGGGGATTTTCATGGAGCGCTGCTTCAGTTCCCTGTGGGGCAGAGGGGACCGTGGACCAGAGCGTCCACCCCCAACAGATTCAGACTCCCTCTGGAGAATCTTCCTGAGGACCGCCAGGACTTACTTGGCTACGGCTGTGAAGGCCAAGTCCACGTTGAGGCCTGTCTTGGCGCTGGTCTCCATGAAGGGCAGCCCGTACTCCTGCAAACAGCTGCTGCCAGCCAGGTGGCAGCCTGGTGGAGATAGCCCAGGCCCTGCACCCCCGGGGACACTCCCCGGCCGCCCACCGCACCCCGGCTCACCTTAGCCAGCTTCTCTCCGTCCTCCCTCTTCACTACGCGCTCCTGGGCAGAGTCCACCTGACCGTGGGGGGTGGGGGGTGGTGAGAGCAGGCGCGGGGCTTACCCGCCACCCCCACCTGCATGTAGAGCCACGGCACAGAGGGTGGGCCGGGCACTTGCCTTGTTCCCCAGCAGCATGAGCACCACGTCCCGCTGGGCATAGTCATGGATCTCCGTCAGCCAGGCCTGTGGGGGGAAAGCTAACAGGAGGGCCTGGGAATCGGGATCCCTGTGTCCTGCTGAGGCACCCCTGACAAGCACCTCACCCAAGGTGTTGGACTGGCAGGTTCCCAGACTCCAGCGCACACTCCACTTGAGCCACGAGAGGGGCCATCTCTCCCTGCTGCCCGTAGGTCCTCAGCCCCCTGGGACCTCAATGCCATCACAGCCTGTTCCCACCCCCACCACCAGGAAAGAAACCACTGACCTGGATATTGTCAAAGGAGGCCTTGTTGGTGACATCATAGAGCAGCAGCAGTGCTGGGGGCAGAGGGCCAATGAGGATGCCTCCAGGGTCGACAGCAGCTCCCTGTCACCCACACCCTCCTGTGCACAGCCTCCATGCAAAAGCCAGGGACGCAGGGCACCCACAGAGCACAGCCCATGACTCCCTGGGACTGGCATCCTCCACCCACAAGCTCACCATGAGCGTCGCGGTAGTAGGCGTGGGTGACACTGCGGAACCGTTCCTGGCCAGCCGTGTCCCAGATCTGGAGCGACAGGCACAATCCCGGAGTCAGGGCTGCCAGTCCCTCCTGGGTGTTCACTACCCTCAACCCACCTCCCCTCCTCCCCCCGCACTACTCACCTGCAGCTTCACCTTCATGCCATCCACATCCAGAACTTTGTTCTGAAATACAACCAGCCTGGTCCAGCAAGAGCCCCGCAACGAGCAGCTAGAACACTGCTACCCTCCGGTGCGGAGCTCCCAAGGGTGGGGTGGGGGCAGCAAGCAGTGCCAGGACAGAGCCTGAGATCCCAGCCTCTCCCCCACCCCCATGCCCCCCACACTTGGCCCTGATGGCCCCTCTCCCACCCAGATGGCCCTCCTGATAGACCTGGAGGTTGCAGCCTCCGTGGCCAGTTCTGGGCCAGCTGTGTTCCTCTCCCCACCATGGAGGCCTGGCACATGCGCCACCAGCTCCCCTGCCCTTGAAGGCCACTTGCCACTACCCACCCCAGTCAGTCACTGAGTCCTGTTGCTCTGGCCTTTCCCACCCCCCCACCCTTCCAGCCCAGCCCAGCCTGATTGCCCACCTCCCCCCAGGTGCCTGGCCCCAGCCAGCTTCTCAGCCCCCTGAGGACAGGGCCCAGGGCAGTAACCACAGAGCCCCAAACTCTGCCTGCTACACAGTGGGTGCTCACTCTGTTTGCTGGCCAGTAGTGGTCTCTAGCGCGGCCTTCCCAGGGCCGGGCCAGTGCAGGGAGGGGCCCAACCCCACAGTTCCCGTCTGCCATGGTGGGGGTGGGGGCCCCTGGCAGCTGGGACGTCACCGCCTCCCTCTTCCCCAAGCTCCTGCTGTCAGGGTGCTTCTGGGTCTCCAAGGAACCAATGGCACAGCCATCTGCCGGGCTGAGATGGGGGCTGGGGAGGACACCCCGCCTTCACTGGCACCTTTGAACAGGGGTGTGAACCAAACGGACTCACCTCCCTCACCACCTGCCCCGGAGCCAAGAGGGAGGTGAGAAGAGGGAAGATGGATCCAAAACAGGCAAAGGATCACCTGTCCAGGGACTAAACTGCCCTCTTGGCACCTGAATCCTTCATCTCAGAAGACTTGAGGGGGCCTGGACCCCCAAGAAGGGCAAATGGCTCCCCAGACTGGAGGGAGCCCCCTTTCCTGTTCCAGAATGGGCCTCTCTCCCAGCCTCCCACCAACTGGGTCTAATTAAAGGGTGAGAAAAAATGCAAATTTAGGATTTGTCTAGAACACACCAGCACCTTGGCAAGGCACTTGGAATTCAGACTGGTGACAGGAGACGGGGGCCGGGATGCTGGAGCCCCAGGGCGCAAGGCCGCAGCCCTCAGGTTCCCTGCTGACTTCACAGGCTGCTTAGGGTGCCGGCGGCGGGGGGGAATGGGGGCTTGAAGTGCAGGGGCACTTCCCTCACCCCAAAAAACCCAGGACACAACCCTCCCACTGGGGGCATTGAGGGAGGGGGCCCTTGAAGAGGGGGTAACAGCCAAGCAACAGCACTTCCCGTGAGTCTCCTCACCCAAGGCCAGGGACCTGCCCCCGCTCCCAGAGGGGGTACGTGCTCCACACCACCTGTCTCTTAGGTCCTTGGCAAGCTGCCTGGCACCTCTGTACAGAAGGGCAGTGATGTTCGCCTTCCAAGTGAACATGGGCCTTGAGTGTCCTCTGATGGCCATTGCGGGGGGTTGGGGGCACCTGGGCCCACCTACTCTGAGGCACAGAATGTAGCTCCAGGCACGGGGGCGCTATCCCTGCTTCATCAGATGCCACCGTCACCTGTCTCCTGGGCCCTTCGGGGCTCAGGAGGTGGGTGGTTTGGTGGTTAAGGCATCCCACCTCAACCCCCCCCCCCTTGGGGCCTTAAGAGCCGGGTGGTCCAGACAGGAGCTTGAGCTCCACCCTGTGAGCCTGACGGCGTCATGGGGATAACAGAGAACCAGCTGCCCAGGGGTGTTGTGAGATCTCCGTGAGCTGGTGTCGGGGCCCCAGAGCATGGCTGGGTCAGCTCAGTGCTTAGGACATGAGCCTCCACTCTCACCCGGAAGTCGATGCCCACAGTGGAGATGAAGGTCCCTGCCAGGAAAGCCCCGTCCTTGAAGCGCACGAGCAAGCAGGTCTTCCCCACGCCTGAGTCCCCCACCAGCATGACCTGGGGCGAACAGGAGGGTCAGAGGTGTAAGGCACAGAGGGGACAAAGGTGCTGGTCCATCCAGAGGGGTATCTGGCCTTCCCTGAGCTGGCCTGGCCAGGAGTGGAGGAACCATCCCAGGCCCTCAGGTTCAGCAGCACCTGGGGAAGACACAGCAGCTATAGTGGCTGCCAGCCTAGACCTCCAGCTCCCACCTCCAGAGGGTTCTTCTGTCCCCTCTAGAACAGTGGTCCGATTCAATCAGTGAGGAGTGGGGACACCTGCCTCCATCCAGGGTCCCACCCACCCTTCCCCCAGGGCCTGGACACCGTGCTTGATCTGGAAGGAAGCATGTGGGACATGGTGGGGAACTGAATCTGGGGATTGGTAGATAGAGACCCGAGAGGCCTGTAGGGGTCTCTGTGCTGGGGGGCTTCTTCCAACCCCAGTATGACTCTGGAGGAATTTTCCCCATGGAAGTCAGATCTCGGTGTGAGGAGGGGCCCAGGTCAGGTCTGTGGAGCAGGAGGTGCAGTCAGGCCTCCCTCCTCCTCCCCTCCCCCAGCCTGCTGAAAGGCTCCAAACCCAAAGATGGTCCTGACAACCCCTCCACGATTCACAGGCTCCTGCCTAGGGCTCCCCACCCAACTGGCAAACCTTTTCTTAATCTTCCCCTTCCTCCAAAAAGAGGAGACCCACAGACCCTGGGGGTGAGGAAGGCAGCATATGCGAAATGGTGAGACTGGGCCGCGCGCGGGGGTGGGGGGTGGGGGGCATATTGTCATTCGGGATCCAGGACGGAGCACCTGCCAGGTCTGGGACCCCTTGACCAGCCTTGCCAGCTGGGGCGTTAGGGGCAGGCCTTGCCAGCTGTTGGGTATTTGCAATCCGGGTCTGAATGTTGTGTGTGTATGCCATGCACCGTGCCAGCTGCTGGGTGCTGCTCTGGCGGGGGTCCCCGCCTAGGGTCCGCGGGGCCTCGCATCCCCCTCCCCGACCTCTCCCCGCTTGGCTCCGGCGGAGCGCCACCTGCTGCGTTCGCATGGGGCGCGGGCCGGCTCACCTTGAAGGCGACGTCGTAGAAGTCGCCGCCGCCAAGCGAGGGCCGGCCGGGCTGCGGGGGTCCGTTGGGCCGCGCCTGGGGCCCGGGGCGCGCAGTCCCTGGGCGCGCAGGCCGGGACCCGTCGGCCGCAGGCAGCGCGGAGGCAGCGGGAGCGCTGGCCCCCTTTCTTTTGGGGGTCTTCTTCCTGGACATGGCGAGCGGGCGCTTAGGGAGCTCTCGCTGCGGCCGCTCTGCTCCCCGCGCCCGCCGAGCGCGACACGGACCCGAACCCGTCCCGCGGCGGCGGCGGCATCGCGGGCGCCAGGCTCCCCGCAGCCCCGCCCCCGCGCCCCACAGCCCGCAGCCACTCAGGCCCGGCCTCCCCCCGCCGCCGCCAATGGCCGCTCTGGGGCGGAGACATGCAAATGAACCGGCCGCCCCGGGGCGGGGTCACGAGGCCCGGGCACTGCCCTAGGTGCTTCGGGTGGGCTCGCGTGCACCGGGTGCGGCAGCTCACCCCTGCCGCAGGCCCTGTGACCTCACTCCATGGCCACCTCCGTGGGGCGGTGGGTCCTGGGTGAGGCGGGATCCTGTCGTTTCCCCGCGTGCTGTACGCCACCCCTCCCTGCACCGCTCCTTGCCCAGTGACCCTCACTGGACGGCCTCTGGGCCTGGGACACGGAGAGCGCCCCAGGAAGGGGGCGCTGAGGCAGTGGGACTGCATGGGGTGGACACCCTGGGTTTCTGTCCCTTCTCAGCTGGAGATGCCACCTGGCCTGCTGCGCCTCCACTTTTCCCCTTAGGGCAGGCAAACCAACCCAGGGTGGGTGGGGGCGCTGCTAGCGCTCTGAGCCCATCTGACAGCTGGTTGCCAGAGGCAGGACACAGCTAGCACTTGAGAGCCGCGGGGCGCTCTCCCCCACAGCGTCTGCCCGCTGGGCCGAAGCCTCAGGATCCTTGGGTGAAGGGAAATCCAGGGCTGGCAGCAAGCCCTCTGAGGGGCCCTTTCCCTGGGGCTCTGCCCTCAGGGGTCTGGGAAGAGAAGGGGCTAGGAGGCTCCCCCCCCTTCCCCCCAGAATGTGGCTAGCACGCCCTTCTGGTGCCAGGTTCTGGCCCCAAGGGGGCCAAGTGCTGACTGTCCAAATCCCATGCTGGGCCCTGGCAGACCAGTCTCCGGAGCCTGACGCCTCCTCCCCACCTGAACGATCTGTGGCTTTTGAGAATGAGGCTGAGACAGTCATGGAATCCCAGGAGCAGTGAGCCGAGAGGCCCCTCACCCAGGGCTTGCGGCCAGCGGGTGTAGGCAGAAAGGCATTGCTTCCAGGATTGGCTTCTGCTCCACACTCCTCCGGGAGCTGGAGGGTTGGCCTGGCTGTCCCCTAAGATGTGACAGCTGACACATGGATCCTAGGTCCTTCAGAGGCCCGAGCCCTCTCAGCTGGCAGTTCCCAGACCCCAGATAAGTATAATGGACAGAAGGTGTCTCTAAGGCTCAGAGGTCTGGGGAAACACAGCACAGTGGTCTCCCAAGGGGGGCTGGCTGGGCCCTGCACAGGAGGGGCTGTGGAAATCACCCTTTCCTGAGCATCATTGTGTGTAGGCACAAGTTATCCTCAAAACTATCCCGTGAAGTGAGTGGTGCTATCCCCAATGTTCAGAGGGGGAAACTGAGGCCCCGAGAGGGGAAGGGAGCTGTCTAAGATCGCCAGGCTAGAAGGTGACAGAGCCAGGATTTGTACCTGGAAACTCTTGGCTCCAGAGAACATGCACTGTCCCATGGCAGGGGTGGCCCAGGATTCTCTGGAGACCCATCCCTCAGGGCCCTGGCAGCCTGAGGAAGCCCTCCGAGGGCCTCCTCTCTTGTCTCGCTTCTCTGAACCCCCACTTCTTCTAGGCCAACGCCCAGATGTGTGGCAGTGGGGCCTGGGGTGGGAGTGCGGAGCTCCCACTGCTGGGGCCCTGGGGATTCCCGGTGACCTGCCCCCCACGAGGCCAACTTCAGGGTGGCTGGCCAGGGTCTCGGCCGGTGCCCACTGAGTCTAGGATCCGGGGCAGCCAGAAAGGAGTCTGGGGTGCCCAAGGGGTGGGAGCTGTAGGTAAGGCAGCCTGAATCGGGGGTGAGGGCTGGTGCTAATGGGGTAACAGGAAGAGGGAAGGAAGCAGGTACTTCAGAGACACTGGGGAGCCAGGAGGGGAGGGAAGCTGAAAACGGTAGAGGAGAAAGACTTGACCTTGTAATCTTTAGAATTAGGAAAGTACCTATATGTAAAAACCCAGGTCTCCGGTTTGTTTTGAAAAGAGAGAGTTCAAGGTCCCTGGACCACAGCGTCCCCTCTGCTGCTCTTGCCTTCCAGCAATGCTCCTAATCTTTGATCATTATGTCCCCTGGTTCCTCTGCTCGCCATCTGTCTCCCTCTCTGGAACGAAGTTCTCTGGGTACAGGAAGCAGCTTGTCCTGGTCACTGCCATATCCCTGGCAGCTGGCTCTAGGCCTCAATAAACATTTATTACATTTGTGAAAGAAATAGGAGTTCAAAATGGGCCCCACTTAAGGAGGACACGCCATCGCTAGCAAGGATTTAAGGCAGAATGTGCCTCAGTGTGCGGCGAGGCAAGGCTAGTGTCCTCGAATAGTGAGAGCAGGAGTGGAGGAGGGGCATTTGCTCTGGGCTCAGAAGGCTGAACAGGAGTCCAGCGGGAGCGGACACAGAGAAAGTCGCCAGGGAGAAGGAGTGAACTTAGATAGGCTCACAGTGCCAGCGGTGGGCGTTTGGAGAAGAGGCCAAAGTGCCAGCGCCGTCTGGTTGCCTGGAGGAAATCTAACTGATAACATGGGGGCTAGATTCTAAAGTGAATGTGAAAGTTTAGCCTAGGGTCTTGGAAACTGTTCAGCAAGAAGTAGGGAGCCATGCATGCTTTCTGAGCAAAGCAACAGAGGATACTGGTACAGGAATAGAGGAGGTGAAGTGGAGGGGGTGCAGGGTACAGCCTGTACGTGGGGAGATGAGTTGGAAAGGGGAGGCGGTAACCCAGTGTGGGGGGAGTCAGCAAGCCTGGAGGGGAGGCAGGAAGACTCGGAGCCCCTGGGGCAGCGACGGCACAGTGCTGGGGTACGGCAAGTTCTTTGCTGCCCCTCCCAATCAGAGGGAAGGCCTCAGTCTCCTGCCTTTGGGTCTGTGATTGCTCCGACCAGTACATATGGCTGAAGTGGGACTCAGACCTTCTAGACTGGCAGCTCCTACATCCCGTCTCCTGGAACATTCATTCTTGGGCCCCAGCTGCCATACTGTGGGACAGTCCAAGCAGCCTTGTGAAGAGTCCCAGGTGGAGAGGAACCCACTTGCCACGCGTGGAGGAAAGAAGTTGTCCTGGCAATGGGTCCCTCGTTCTGGCGGATTCCACGCGGAGCAGGAATAAGCTGCCCCCACCGAGCCCCAAACTGCAGATTCATGAGCCTTTGGGGGATTTTTGTTATACAGCAATAGATAACTAGAACAGGCTGCCAGCAAGGGGAAGGAAAGAGGCCAGTTTGGTGGCAAAGGTCAGCAGGGTGGCCTTGACCAGACCTGGGGAAGCCTGAGAAGACCTCTGGGCCGCCAGGGCAGGTCTCTGGGGCAGGGTGTGGAGTCGAGGGGAGTGCTGAGGCTGAGCCAGAGTGCGGAGGGAGGGTGGGGTGCCTTCAGGCCTTAACCCTTCTCGCAGGGGGCTGGCTCCGCTGGGCACACAAGGGTGGACACGTATCTGTGTCTCAGCAAAGGGAGCGAGCGACCCCAGATGTGTTCCCGCCTCATTTCTGGATCCTTGTTCCCAGTACCCTGGGGCGGCCTGGCGCCTTCGCGCCCGGGGCCTCCGGCTCCGGCATGCTGCCCTCTGACTTACCCTTCCGGCTCTCTGGCCCCTCTGTTCTGGAGTGACGTGTGCCGTGAGTCCCCACACACAACCACTCTCTGGGACCTGTGGCCCGAGGCAGTCCCTCTCTGGAGCCCCGTTTTCCAGCCGGCCGGCTTTCCTGCCACATCGCACTGACCCATAGGGCCGCGGCCTCGAGCCAGGCAGTTCTCCCTGTCTTCCCCGGCTCTGCTTGAGGCCCCCTCCTCCAGGCAGGCAGCCTTCTCTGGCTCCTCCCGTCCCCACTCCTTGCTCTCCAGACATGCATGTGGACACACATTTGCTCCCCGCTGGTCCCTCAGGGGGCTTCACAGCCTCGGCACCGGCCTCTGAGCCCCCTGAGGACGGCGCCCGTCCTGCCTCCACCAAGCACTCAGTGGAGACGTCGTGACCGAGCAGCACAGGCTGGACTGGGCCTCAGGGGTGTTTTATTCACGGGGGGAGGCAGCGCTCCCGAGTCTTGTGCCCCCAGGGCACCTCCCCACAAGTGAGGCCTAGGAGCTGCGTGTAATCTCGAGGAGGGGGCCCTGGCTGGGGGCGGTGCCAGAAGGCAGAGGCTGGGGCACGTGGTGCCTCTGAACCTGCGCCCCTCTCCCTGGAATGAGGGGGCGAGAGGAGCTGATCTCTGAGGTCCCTTCCAGCTCAAACACCTTATGTTCCGTGAGATCCACGTGAGCGTTGCCATAGAGACGGCGGAGAGGACCCGCAGCAGCTCTGGATTCAACCTCCACCCAGAGGAGAGAAGAGAGTCACCCCAGGAAGCAGCTGATGTCAGAGGTGTGCCCTCCCCTCCCCCCAGCACCCAGGGACTCAGGGGCCACACTGAGCATCCTGCTCCCCAGAGGGTGAGAGGACACACCCCACCTGCAGTGCGCTGCACTCACCTCTGCTGCACCCAGGCCCTCCTGGGCAGGTGGTAGGGGGTGGGTGTCCGCCCCTTGGGGCCGGGACAGTGTGCGAGGGCGGGCGCAGTGGGATGTATCCCTGTGGGCCTGATGTGCAAGGTCTGCCCTCTGCATCCCTTCCCGCTGCAGCCTGCAGCCCCGGTACCGGGACCTGCGTGCTCTCTGCAGTCCGTCTCAGGATGCGAAATATGCCGGAGCCCGGCAGGCTGCTCGGACCAGACTCTGCACTGGGGCCCCAGGCAGGCGAGGCCTTGTCTGGAGGAGCACGGGACACCCCCACCCAGGCCACCTCTCCGCTCCAGGCTCTCTGGGCAACCTTTGAGTGCCCTGCTGGGGAGGCAGAGGCGTAAAGGAGTAAAAAAACGGTGGCGCCTGGGTAGCCATGACAACCGCAGTAGTGCGAGCACGTGATTCACTTGCCTTGTCTCGTCCCTTTTCCTTACTTATGAAAGTGAGCTATGCTTTTTGTCCACAAGAAATAAAAGTGCTTGTTCTCCCCAAACCGTTATTAGGTTTGG